TTCGCCCGAAGACAGCGGCGACGATCGGGCGGACGACTACCGGTGGGCCGGCACCGACGGCTCGTCGGCCGACATAGACCTCATGGCCGAACGCCGCCAGAACCGGCCACTCCGAAGCGGCTCATCGTCTTCTTCGTCGGCCGCAGCCGCCGCGAACAACCACAAGGAGAAGGAGAAGGGCGAGGAGAGCGACAAGGAGGAGGAGGACGAGGAGGAGCCTCTTCATCCGCTCCACCCCAAGTACAACCCCTTCGTCCAGCTGGACGACGTCGAGGACGTCGAGGAGGGCCTGCTCGTCCGAAAGAGAGGCGAGTCGGCTGGCCGCAGCTCCTCATCCTCTTCTTGACCAACCTCCTCGCCTTCGCCTTCACCTTCGCCACACTTCCCGCCACAACGACGCAACTACGCGCAAACAACAAATAAATATCTCGCGCGCGTACGTTGCCATGACGTAGCAGACAATTCTTATCTTCTCTTCCATGATCAGTTGCCGAACGACGCCCGAAGGACGCAGGGTCTAAGCAGACATGCGCTTGCGCGTTACCACGAGCTTGTGGCTGTTGTACTGCAAGCTTGAAGAGCAATCAAAAGATTAAAAAGAGATGGAGGAGGATGGTGTGAGCTTTGTGCCGATAGACGACAAGGCGGGCGACCTGGCGGCGGTGGAGGACCTCTCATCGCCGGTGCGGCCCTCGACCGCTACCGCCCTCGTGCAGGCGAAGATGGGCCAGTCATCGTGGTGGCGCACCTCTATCGCGACCCTGCGGCGTCCACGAGGCGAGGAGAAAGAAGATGGCGGAGGAGAGGCGGAGAAGAAAAAGACGAGGGCTGGAGAAGAAGCGCTTAGCGACGGTGCAGCCGTGGGCGACCCCGAGGGGCACCGAGACGAGAAGGAGGAAGAAGAAGCCGACGACAGCATCATCCAGCCCGGACCTCACAACCCCGGGTCCAGCACGACGACGACGACAAAGAAGAAAGAGAAGAAGCGAAGCCAAAGAATGAAAGCGAAAGCGAGAAGAGCGAAGCGGCAGTTGGAAAAGCGCCACAGTCAGAAGGCTCGGAGGTAAAACCAGAGCCTACGGCCGGCCACTGTGCGAAGAAAGAGGAGAGGCTGCAGAAGAGCCGTTCGCTGTCGGCCATCGGCCATGTGGCCGAGGAAATGGAGCAGAGGTCGTGGAGCAAGGAGCTCGACGCGGAGGAGGAGCTCAAGTGCACCGATGCCGAGTAAAGGGATAGTGACGGCGGAGGAAGCGAAGCTGATGTTCTCGAACGTGAAGACGCTGCTGGCGATCAACCAGACGCTGCTGTCCGACCTCATCGGGCGCGTTGAGACCACCCACGGCAACAACCTCGGCGACAGCTTCCTCCGTTCGTCGGTGCACCGCTTTCCCGACTCCGTGTGTAGTGTCCTGTCGTGTCGTGTGTCGTGGTGCGTGTGTTGTGTCGTGTCGTGTGTCGGTTCTAATCTGAACCGCACACAGGGGGACTACTTGAGGATGTACGCGAGCTACTGCGCCAACCAGGACACCTCCTTCCGAACCAATGTCCAGGCAAGAAGGCCCAGGACGCCATCATGCTGTCCCTCGACAGCTTCCTCACCAAGCCCGTGCAGCGACTGCAAATACCCCCTTCTCCTCCGAGTACGATACACGCACTACCGCATACGAGGTCGATCTCCGCCTCGACGAGGGCAGGAGCCAGGACCTGGCCACGATCGGGGTGATCGTCAGCAACGACATCAGCGGCGGAGGCTTTGGCAGCGGACGGCAGCACGCGCGACACTACGTGGTGCCCTTTGCCTCGGCTGCCCTCGAGCAGAGGTGGGTCGATGCCCACCAAGCGCCGCTCGAGCGTCGGGCCTCGTCACTCAGCCCCCCCCCCCGGCCTCGCTTTCGCTTTCGTTCTTTCGGACGTAAAAGTGTTCTATGTACACAACTTGGCACCATCAGCAGTCGGCGAGAGCAGCCGCAGAGTCGAGGGCGGTCCGGTAGGCGAGGACCCAGTGCGACCTGTGGTCGGCCGAGACAAAGGGCACGACGTACTCGTCGCCGCCGCTCGTGATCTCCACTGTGGGCGTGGCGGCCTTGGCGTCACAGTCCTCCGCGCTGGTCGGCTCGTTCAGCTCCACCTGGGCTTCGAGGAGCGACAGCATCGCCTGCACCTCCACCTTCTTGGTGGAGCCACTCTTCCTCCTGGCCGAGGCCGCTGCATTGATTGATTGTTTGATTACGTTGTTGCGTCTCCAGGGAGCTTGGCTTGCTTCAGCACACCGACACCAACACACACACATGGCGAACCTTTCGAACTCGCGGGCGCCGTGGTGAGGACGAGGAGGTCGGAGAAGAGGAAGTAGTGCAGGGCCGACAAGCTCTTCGTGTCCTGCAAGCCGAAGAAGGGGTCAGCTCAAAAATGCCAAATGTGAATGTCAGGCGTGGCGCATACCTGGGCCATCTTCTGGA